GGATAACATCTTTGCAGACTTGGTTGGGAACTGGTTGGATCTGCCGGAGCTGGATAAGAAAGGGGAGAAGAGCGAGGCGTCCCTCCCCACAAGCAGGTCCCAGGAGCTCTGCAGGAAGTTCTCCCTCACGGCCAACATCTTCAAGAAGTTCCTGAGAAGCGTCCGGCCCGATCGAGACAGGCTTCTCAAGGAGAAACCTTGCTGGCTTCCGCCTGAAGATAAACAGCCCGAAATTTCTAAGAGATCCAAAAAGATGAACAAACTTAAAGGGACATTTTACTTTCCGCTTCATGGGAACATCCAGAACCATCACGGCAAAGCGGAGAGGTGCTCGAAGGCAGAAAGCAATAGCGAGAAACCCAAAATTGGCACCAAGAAAGTCCATGAGACCATAGACTGCACCCAGTCTGGGTTTGACATCAACACAGCTGTTTGGGTCTGAGTTTGTCAGTGTTCTCTGCTCTGAGGAGCATCTGTTTCACACTGGAGAGGAGCTGGAGGCCCCACACTTCTTCTCAGGAGACCCTCGAGCTCCCAGCAAGGACTGAGCTGAAAGAGGAGTCCTCTGCAACATGTACTGCTGGCTCCAGCTGCCTGTGGCAGCCTGAGCAGCAGTCGATGCAGCCACACATGGCGAGGTTTTTGGGGACTGGTACTTGCAAAAATAATCAGAATTTTTAGCAGCTTTAGGGTGAGCGGTGCCACAGACTACTGGCTCCTGGCTTACGATAGCCACTGTGGGCCCATTCCCTCCTCTCTGGTTAAAATAATTGCAGCACAAAATTCACCGTGTGCATGTGTGTGTATGAGTGTGCAAATATATATATAGTTTTTTAAGAAAAAAAAAACCCTATTCCTGCTTGTGTGCACTTAAAATTGGGTTATAAGCTAGGCAGTTCAAGGATACCTGAAGCACTTGTTATTTAAATGGAAAGAAATAAGTTTGAATTTACAAGACTTGAACCATTGCTAAGTGGGGTGCTGAGCCCCAGCTGTGTTGCACTTCAGCCGCGGGGCTTTCCCCAAAACTGCATCTCTGTTGCTTTCCCAGCATCTCTTCTGCCTCTGCCAGTGAAACCAGCAGGACACAAGGCTCCGCTCATGGAAATTTGTCACCCTCGAGCTCTCAGCGAGTTTTGCTTCTCCCCGCAAGCCCTTTTTCCCACCGGTCGCACCAGATACAATGTTTCCACGTTCACTGTTGGGGTTGCTCTGAGATACAAAGTTGCAACAGGCGTTTGTTGTTGTTTCCTGTCGCTGTTGTGTACAAACCGAACCAGGTTCCTCAGTGTCCGGCTCTCCGAGAGTTACCAATAAAGTGTTGTCCGTGTCCAGCGGGGCCGTCTCCATCCCGGCACCCCCTCGGTCCGGCTTTTCTCCAGGGCAGAAGCTGCTGGGGCTTCCCCAAGGGTCGGGGGTCGGAGCAGGGAGCACCCGCGGGTCGTGTCAGCCTGTTCCCAGCCCGGACCGGGGAGTCTGGGGAGCGGCCAGGAGAGTTTCCATCCAAGGAGAGGTTATAAATCATGCCGGGGAGGGCAGCTACAGCCAAGAGGTCCCTGCCAGGCCCCAGCGGTTCTGAACAGAGCCCCCCGGCCGAGATGGGCTGCTCTGGGGTCCCCCCCATTTCCACCAGCCGGGAGCCACAGATGCTCCGTGCGCGCAGCAGTGTTGTGTTGCAAAAACCTGTTCCGCTCACTCCAAGTTTAGGAAGGGCTTATGTGCAAGCCGTGGTAGTATTTTTGGTTTTTTTTAAACGTGCAATTCTATTCCTGTTGTAACTTCCCAAGACAGAAAGACCCATGGAGCAGAGGCATGGAGAGAGATTTTTTTTCCCTTGCAAATTAAATATAGGCACAAGACAAGCCCTGTTTCTGCCCATACAAGGAGACAAGCGGGTCAGCATCTGAAAGCTATGCTCAGCACCACGCTCAGTACTTTTTCAGGAACCTGAGCTGAAGGCAAGCTTTTGTTTCTCCTCCTCACAGACTTGACATCTTGTTGTTTTCCCCCTTTGTTTCCAAGAATGCCAAAGGGCTGTTTCTAAAGCATTTTGCTTTCCTTTTTTATCAGCAGTTCCCCCTCTTTGTTTCAAATACACCCTCCTAGCTCCCACCGACCCTTCCCAGGGTCAGGGAAGATGACAGGAAGCTTTCTATAAGCAGTAGCACAAGAGAGAAACAGCTTCCCCTGCACCAGCCTCAGTCCCC